TCGGAGGCTACTGGTGGCGCCACGACTTACCGGTGAAAGGAACCCCCGATGGCGCGCATCGCGATAGGGGTCAAGTTGCCGCCCCTAAACCGCCTCTACCGTCTCCCCCACCCGGCGAAGAATCTCTCCTCCTCGGAAAGGCGGAAGAGGACATCCGGGTGCCCTCAATGGGCTCACCGGCCTCATCTCAAACAGCCCCGCCCGCCAAGAGCCATCGGTGGCGGCACCCTCCCGGTGGTGGGCAGCAGCCACAACCACCAGCAGCCATGGTGAGGCCGTGGCCCCATGACCCTCGCCGGACCCCTCTAGGAGGCGGCTCCGGCTTGGGCTGGTCGACCTTGGGCGCCCCACTTCCACTTCTCTCGGGCAACTCCCACAATCCGCCCGGTGTAGGGGAAGCCCTCCGTCGTCGTTCTGAAGATAAAACCAACTCGTGTACCACCGGCGGTTGGAGGGCCTTGAGTTGGGCGGGGATAGAGTGCAGGCGGTCTGGCGCACTTGGAGAGTGCAGCCTCCGGCCCTCGCCGCCTTCCTCTTGCCCAGCGTGCCCGGCGGCTTTGTAGTATGCCCGCCCGGAGCAGATGGAGCCACAACTCCCAATGGGCGCGATCCTAAATACCCCTCATGAGGCGGCAACAAAGATAGCCGCTGAGCAGCGGAGTTAGGATTAAAATTGTGGAGCTCCACGTCGTAGTAGTGCGTAAGCGCCCGCATGAACCGGTCCGCCCGGGGCCCAGAGGCCACGCTTCGTGGAAGGAGGCGAAGCTTACGACATAGCCGTCGCGAGGCCTCGGCTCCGGCTCGCCGTCTGAGCAATCCATTCCGGCGGGTGGAGTCGATCACCGCAGGCGGAGGAGCCCACCGTCGACAAGCGGCTGGAGCATCTCCTCGGTGACGTCAAGCGGATCGAGGTCCGCCTCGGCGACAACGATATCACCGGCCATGGGTGCTTATTTGGGGAATCGGTGCGGCGGTGAGTCTTTTCTCTCCTCCCACGCTCTCACTTTTTTCTCGCTTCCTCCCTAGGCTCGCTTTTCCTCCTCTCCTTCTCGGCTTTTCATTTGCTCTAGCGGCGGCTCGGCGGGCGGCGTGATGCGAGCAAGGTAAGGCGAGGAGGGCAAAACTCCGGGTATTTATGCGGGGGAGGCGAAAGCAATGGCGATGAAATCGGGAGATTTCCCCCAATCTGGCGCGGTTAACCACGAGCCGATTTCACCCGCCCGCGCCACGTCTCCGCATTAAATGCGAGGGCGGTTCGTCCCATCCACCATGCCACGATCGGCCACTACGGCGGCGGTACCATTTCGACTCCCAATAAAAGCGCCTCAAAAGCGCGCTACTCATGGCCGAGCCAATAGGGAAAATATTTCCATGGCTGTTCCTTTCATAGGAAGGAAGGCAGACTCTGAAGCCTATTACAATCCGAGGGGTTGAAAAATTTGGACCCCAAAAGGGTTTCGACATTTGCCCAGGATATGAGTCGAGGCGGCTGGGCGAGCCTATTGGGGCCGAGACCCAAGCGAAGCGAAAGCGCTTGGGGCGCCCAAAGTCGTGTCAGAGACCGGCGAGGAGAAAGTATCGAATGGGATCCCACCGTGGGGAGGCACCGAGCCACCGAGGCCCAATGAGCGGCCTCGGCACCCACTAGAGAAATCTCTGGTACTCTTGGAGTGTGTCTACGGACCGCTAGCCGTCCCCTAACGAGCGGGGTTCGGGCCTCCCTCGGACTACCCGATATGACTCACCGGAAGTGCCACCGCTCGTGCCCATCGAGGGTAGCGAGGCACATTCCACCCCTCCTTCGAGCGAAAAAGGAAGCGCGAGGGTCGCATAAAAAGTCAGGGGAACCCTGGCGGCCTTCTCGCCCGCCCTATGAGAGGCTAGGGGCTCCTCCTGCAAATATGCCGAGACCCCACGACCGGGCTCGCGCCCAAAGGGGCCTCGGCAAACAAACCCTCTGCTGCGAGGGGCGTATAAAAAGTCGAGGGGAACTCCGGCGGCCCTCTCTCGCTCTAGCAGAGGCTAGGGGCTCTTCTGCGACCTTGCAAGAGACGAGAATGGGCTCGGCAAACAAACCTCCTGCGCTTGAGGCGTATAAAAAGTCGGGGAACTCCGGCGGCCCTCTCGCTCTGCTGAGAGGCTAGGGGCTCTTCTGCGACCTTGCAGAGAGACGAGAATGGGCTCGGCAAGCAGAACTCTCTCCGTCCAAACGAAAAGGATATGTGAGGGGTGAATGAAAAAAAGTCGAAGACCCCGACCGTCCTCTTGCTCGGCGGAGGCTGGGGCTCCTCTTGCACCCAAAAACCAAGACAAAAAAACACGATAAAAGGCACCGAGGCCCATTCACGGTCCGGGGTTTGAATTTGGGCCTCAAGAGAGGTTCGACTGAGCCGCCCGAGAACATGAGTCGGGGGCGACTTGAGGCGAGCCTACGAATGGCCCGAGCCCGAACAAACAATCGTTAAGGCGTCCTAAGTCGTGTCAAGAGACCGGCAGGGAAAGTATCGAATGGGATCCCACCGTAGGGAGGCACCGAGCCACCGAGGCCCAGTGAGCAGCCTCGGCACCCACTAGAGAAATCCTCCGGTACTTTTGGAGTGCGTCTACGGACCGCTAGCCGTCCCCTAGCGAGCGGGGCTCGGGCCTCCACTCGGACTACCGATAACATGACTCATCGAAAGTGTCACGCTCGCGCCCATCGAGGTAGCATGGCACATTCCACCCCTCCTTTCGGCGAAAGGAGGCGTGAGGACATACCCAATGTCGGGGGACCCACGGCGAACCTCTCGCTCCATGCGGAGGCTAGAGGCCCTTTTTGCAACCTCGCATGAGACCCCATGGCCCGAACTTGCGCTTATGGGCTCGGCAAATGCAATAAGAGCTGATCACTCAAGCGAAAGTGGAGAAAGCCCCGGAGGAGTAACTTCACTCCTCCGAGGGGCTCGGAGGCTACCCGTGAGTGCGCTCGCGCGCACCACCGGAACCTCGAAAACAAACCAATTCCTACGGGGCGGGCATAAACCCGGCCTCGGCGAACCCTCGGGAGAGTGTGCGCACTCACCCCGAGGCTCGGGGGCTCTTGTCGGGTACCTTATAGCAGGGGTACCCCAAGCAAACATCAAAATAAAGCTAGAAGGTAAGCCGTGGGCCCCTCACCCTGCCACGGCCGAGCCCTCCTCCACCTCGCCTCGAGCCTCGGCGGGAGGTCTCGGAACAAACTCCGCCTCTGCTTGAGGCTCCCGAGGGTGGAGGTCTCGGCGGGGGGCGCCGAGCCTCGGCGGGGCGCCGTCTCCGTCTCGCCCGAGGCTATCCGGGGAAGGCCTCGGCGGTACATTCTCCGTGTCGCGCGAGGCGTCTCGCACAAGGCCTCGGCAAGGAACACGATCTCCGTCTCGTGAGGCCTCATTCTCCGTGTCGCGCTCGAGGCCGGCTCGTCCATGATCCGTCGCCCCCGCCTCGGCCGACCCTCCCAACAACTCGTCATGTCTCATTAATGCTTCAACCACTCCCGCAATCTCGGGCGGACGGTGGCTCAAGCGCCCACAGGATGGCCGCGCGCGACCCAGGTCGCATCAGTATCCTCTACCGGCCGGGGACGAGTCTGCACAGGGGTTACCGGCCCTTTGTGTCCTACCACTTGTGTCCACGATTAGCGCCATACCCGGGGACGAGGCACGCAGCGGGGATTACGGCCTTTGTGTCCTACTACTGTGTGTCCCACGATCGGCGCCACCACGGGTGGGGGAGAGTGCAGCGGGGATTACCGACCACTTGTGTCCAAAGCTTTGTACCCATGATCGGCCGCCCGCTCAAGGCCCTCGACGCTTTGCATACACGGGGGCCTCGGCGATCTTGGGGTTCGTGCTGCCGAGACCCCCCCCCCCATGATGCCGGCCTCGGCATCGACCAAGTCTCGGCCTCGCGCTGCGGTCCGTCCCAAGTGGCTTGCGTTCGCGCGCCGCGTCCACTCCGAGGCATTCCGGGGCTCCCACGGCGCCACAGGATCGATGGGATGACCACGCCCCCCAGATACTCAAGGATGGACCACTCGGATGGCCACACCGCCACGAGAGCAGGCTACTGGGGCTCGGACACGCCGCCTCTGTTCACACGACGCCGTATAGTTAACTCATGTACCGCCCTAGTCCTCCCTTCATGCTATAAAAGAGAGGACACTGGGTTGTTTTTAAGGGGACACCTTGTAACACACACACACGCACACACTCCTGCCGCTTTGAGAGCAACGTCTCAAGCGGCCCCATACGACACCCCCGCCGAGACCTAGGACCAGCTCCTTCTCTCCTTTAGCTTGTAACCCCCTACTACGAGCACCTCGGTGCAAGGAATACAAGATCGATCTCTCAGACTGGACGTAGGGCCTTGATTGCCTAAACTAGTATAAACCTTGTGTCTCTTTGTATCACCATCCGGATCGGGAGCACGCAGAACAAATTCACTCTTGGCTGGTTTGGTGTGAGAGAAAACACTGTTCCCGACTGAAAATTTACGATCTTTTGTGAGCAAGCGAATAGGCTGAGGATCCTGAGTACCACTGCATTTATGTAGTTGCTGACCATGTACAGAGTGTTCAACGCTAAACGCAAATCTTTTCTTCTATATAGAACACAACTACACAAGCCTCACGAAACAACGACGGGGCAGTTTGTTCGCTGGTTAATTTATGGGCTGATAAGTTCGATTAATATTGGTTTATTGTGAAAGAAAAACGTCGTACGATGGCTGATAATTCATGAGTGAAATCAACGAGCAAAAACAGGATAGGCCGTAGCCGACCTTGCGTGGCAAGCGATTGGCATTTCGCGACACCCAGGTGGCTGGTCAACCACGGCTCTTCCGTCTGGTGCCGCCCTCGTCTGCCACCCAACCTTCCGAGAAGACTCCCCAGACCCTTGTTGCCTCATAAACAGAGAGAGCCGAGGCCGGCGGCCACCGAACTAACGGGGAGGGAGAAAGGAAAAAAAAACTCGACTTATTCAGCCATGGCCCTCTGCTCGCTTCGGCACCGGCTGCCGCTGCCGCTTCTCCTTGCCGTCTTATTTGCCGCTTCCCGTGGCGATCCTTCCGACGACGATTACAAGTACAACACCTCCATATGCAAGGTGCAGCCATACACATGCGGCGATGTGAATATCAGTTACCCGTTCTATCTTTCCGATGAGACGGCAGATGTCCTGGGCAACAACTCCTCCTGCTGCGGGTACCCTGGGCTGGCCATCAACTGTGTGGACGACAAGTATCCCATCATGCAACTCGGCAGCGGCCCAGACTACTCGTACAACGTGACGGGCATCGACTACACCAACTCCACCATCTCCCTCGCCGATCCCGATGTCCTCGACGGCGATGAGAGCTGCCCGGTCGACCACAACGTCACCTTGCCGCCCGCCGTGTGGCTCAACTTATTGCCAGAGTACACTGTTGGTTACCTCCTCTTCTTCGCCAACTGCTCCATCTCCACTATCCCTGGGCAGCCTTACATCAACCCGATCTCATGTCCAAGTGCTTTGGTTGGTTATTATTCTTTTGTGATTCCTTCGGATTCGGAGGTGCCCGGCCCCCAACAAACTTTGTCACGGGAGTGCAAGCAAGTTATCCAAGTGCCGGTGCTTCAGAACGCCTCCCTGACCATCGATCAGCAATGGAGCACCAATGGGTACCGCGTCGCTCTTAAACAGGGTTTTCAGTTGGGATGGAACTCGAGTAGGAAGTCCGAGCTGTGCACCAACTGCGAGGGATCCAATGGACGTTGTGCCTACAGCAGATATGGGGAATTCTTAGGTTGCTTGTGCACCAACGGCCGAGTGAGCAACCAAGAATGCACCAAACGTAAGCCCTTTCTGTCTTGTAGCACTACCTTTTCTCCTTCTTTTTTGGTTGAAACCAAGGCCTTGTTTAGTTGGCGAAATTTTTTGAAAAATGGTATTGTAGTACTTTCGTTGTTATTTGACAATTAGTGTCCAGTCATAGTCTAATTATGGTTAAAAGATTCGTCTCGTGAATTTCGTCTAAACTGTGTAATTAGTTTTATTTTTTATTTATATTTAATGCTTCATGCATGCGTCCAAAGATTCGATGTGACGGAGAATCTTGAAAAATTTAGCAAAATTTTGGGAACTAAACAGCCACCGAGCCTTTTCTCCTTCCTTGGTGTCAAATTGCTAAGGGGATCCATTAGCTTGCAGCTTCATCAACTGTAAGTAGGCAGGTAGCTGCTAGTTGTAGCTTCAGTAAAAAAAAAGTTTTTGGTTCAAATTTTACCTTGGAATCAAATCTTTGCTTGGCCTGAACAAAGAACTTCGATTGCTTTTTGAAAATAAAAGGTGTCGAAATGGATCTAAATTAAAGGATGAAAAATCTGTAAAAATCAATCAACCATGTAGCAATTTTAGACCTGTCCTTAACAGTACCACCAGCAGAAGCCTGCCACCAGCTTGCCATATTTTGGGCCATCTTCATCTTCTTCCCCTTGGGCCTTCAATGTCAGTTTCCTTCCAACCCAAAAATCTGCAGCCGCCGCTCCCTCGTGCTTACCACTCTGTAATGTTTTACATGAGTTAGGTTTAAGTTCGAAGTCGCATCATCAACTACCTGATTACAGTAAGCCGGCAGCTGTATGTGGGATGGAATGGAATAATGTCATGATTGGTTCACCTCCAAAATTTGTCATACCACTGATTAATCCATGATTTTGGCTAGGATTTGGTTTGCTATCAAAACTTGCTAAAGTCTTACATTTGTCTCGCCAAATCTATAGCAATGATTTTGCTCAACTTTTGGCTTGTCAAATTTTTAGCATGACAAATTTTAAATGTTAACCAAGCAGGCTGAAAGTAATAGCCGAACACGACCAGGACCAGCCACTCTGACCGATTCTTTCCCCAATCTGGACGCGATGTGTTGTTGTGGACCGCTCTGTTCTCCTGAACGTCCACAACTTGGACCGCGCATGCTCTTATATTTCTCCACGGCTGCCGTCGGCGGGAATGAGACAGAACTTTTACATCCCATCGCCGGCACATGCCTGCTGCTGCTGCTGCTGGAAGCCACACCGCCAGTGATAGGAGGAAGCGGCTCAAATTTCTCAAGCTGTCTTTCACGGCCATAGACTCGATCTTCAGGAACCACTGACCGAAGCATTTCTGCCGTAGCATACATACGGCATCGTTGAACACGCGCAGGAGAATAGGGCAACCATTCCAAAACGAAAATTGGAGGGGAAAAAAACAGCTTCCTTCTAGAAACCACCTGCACAAGGATAATACCAGTATAGTAATAAAAAAAATTTAGACAACCAATAGCTCTTCCTTTTGACGCCAATTTGGAAAAGTGACTAGCCACGCCCCACTCTTTCTTTAGTTTGTCTGGTTTGTACTTGTACTTGTGTTTTACTGCATTTCATTAATTTGATCAGTAGGGGCTCCTTGCCCCTCCTGTTTTTTTCAAAAAAAAAAAACTCTGGAGTCGCCATGGGATAGGGACATGGGTCAGGTAGCGCAGCGACTCTGGCAGTGTGGCGCGGTAGGCTGGCAACGTCGCGACTCGCGAGTCCGCTACTACAAGCAGGCAGGCCCCTCCTCAAGCCATCGTTTGCCCGTGTGTCCTTGCCCGTCGTCAGTGTCAGCCACCCAACCTTCGCCGGTACTGCACGGCTAGCTGCACTTGCCACTACCAAAGCGAGGCTTAAAACATCGCTTGACCAAAAAAACCGGAACCTGCCCGCCGTCCACCAACCAAAACTGCGCGCCAGAAATCCCTGAGACCTGAACAGAGCTGCCAGCTTCCCCAGCTGCCATGCTTTCCCTGAGCCACCACGACCGAGGCCTCCTCCTCCTCGTACTCCTCCTACTCGCCGCGGCCGTCGCGTCGCGCGGCGATGACGACACGTACGCCGTCTCCGCGTGCCGGTCTCGGCCGTACCTCTGCGGCGGCGTGAACATCAGCTACCCGTTCTACCTCGCCAGCGACGACGCCAAGGCGGTCCCGGACCACGACGGCGAGTCCTACTGCGGCTACCCGGGCCTCGCCGTCATCTGCGACGGCGCCAACAACAAGCCCGTCCTGAAGCTCGGCGACGACAACTACACGGTCTCGGGCATCGACTACGCCAACCTGATCGTCTCGCTCGCCGACGCGGACGCCGCGGGCGCGGGCAACGGCGGATGCCCCGTCGTGGACCACAACGTGACCATCCCACCGGCCGTCCGGCTGTCCCTTATTCTCCACAGCGTCGACTACCTCTTCTTCTTCGTCGGCTGCTCCTTCGGCCCGGAGGCCGAGCCCGCTCCCAAACCGCCGAAGCCGCCGACCATCAAGCCCATCACCTGTGGAGACATGGACAAACCGGCTTCCATGACGTTCGTGCTCCCGCGCGGCGAGGTGCCTCCCGGCGACTGGTCGAGCGCGTGCCGGCAGATATTCGAAGTGCCGGTGCTCAAGAGCTCCATCCCGCCCGACGCTCAGGACCCGGTGTGGAGGAAGGACGGGTACGGCAAGGCCCTCCGCGCGGGGTTCCAGCTGGGCTGGGACCGGAGCTCCGGCGGTCCGTGCGGCCAATGCGAGCTGTCCAGCGGCAAGTGCGGGTACAACCGCGCCGGCGAGTTCCTGGGCTGCCTCTGCACCGACGGCCGCGTGGGCGACGGCGGCAGTTGCAGTAAGATCTCTGCTGACTCCGCTCTGTCTTGGCCCGGTACGTAACAGCCATGCTTTCACCGTCCAAATCGCCATAGAAATGGTCGAGCCATTAGCCTTCGATGGCGTGCATTCATTCTATCAGGCGTCATTACTACCTGCATAATTACACACCATATCGCTGCTAATAATCCATGGTTTCCTCTGCACGCTAACGCTTTCTTCTCTGTCCGGAGAAAACACTGTCGCGTTAGAAATACAGACAGACACTATCAAATATCTGGGTGTGAAACGAACCAGAGCTTAAAGCGCGTCAGTCCAATTAGTCCGGGCTCTACTGCTCAGTAACCCGTCCTCTCTCGATAGAGATGTGTCATAGACTCATAGATAGCTTGAAAGCACCGCTCCGATCCGATGGCGCAACGGCACCTCGCGGCTTGTTTTCCAGTGTCTGTCGCCGGCGGGGCTGCTGGGACGAGTCGGCCTCCGAGATTTTATCCAGGACCACCGAGTTCGGTCGCGTCGCTCTCAGCACGACCACGCGTTGAGGAAAATCGATAGAGCCACAGCGACGGGGCTCCGTCTCGCCCAAGACTTCTTCCTCTTGGTTGTGTGTGTCTCGTCGTACGGCCAGGGACCGGTTGAGAATTTGGAAGTACTCTTTGCATCCATCTCTCCAACCTTCCGTACCCTATCTGTTAGCTGCTCCATGCAGGCTGCAGCACCAAATCATGCGACTTCAGTACTGCTCTCTAGGCACTTATACATAATTAATTGCTTAAAAAGGACGGGGTCCTTTGCTACGATCGATTGCCACATCACGGTTTGCGTGACAGTAGCTTACCTTCATGTACAAGACTCGTAGGCGCAGCCTGTAGGCTGTTGCTGATTAAGGCCACGTTTAGTTCCAAAAAAATTTTGGTTTTTGCCCATCACATCGAATCTTTGGACGCATGCATGGAGCATTAAATGTAGACGAAAAAAACTAATTGTACAGTTGGGTGAGAAATCGTGAGACGAAACTTTCAAACCTAATTAGTCCATGATTAGACACTAATTGCCAAATACAAACGAAAGTGCTACAGTTGCAAAACCCAAAAAATTTCGCAAACTAAACGTGGCCTAAGCCTTACGACGTTTATGGCCGAAAACCCCACCTGACAGAGAGGCCCAAACAACGCTCCCCGGCAAGAGCTACTTGCGGAATTAATGGTTGCGCGTCTAATGACTTAAAGAGAGATCCATGCCCACCTGTCGATGTAGGAGCACAGCAGAAACTGATGCGCACCAGCGTAGTCTTGTTAATTTCAGCGACAGACATCTCGTCGCTCTAACTGAAAACCGCGACGCTTCAGTTTTTTTTGTGGTTGCCTGAATCGCTGGTGTTCACATTAATTGGGACCGTTGATGCCTGAGATAGCAACTTCATATAGTAGGCATTTTCACTCACATTATTGGTAACTGGATAGACTGTAGAATCACTGTACTACTTTGGAACAGTATGAGCCATGAGCCTCTAGCTTAAAATTTCTATGTTCAAGACTTCAAAGATTATTGTGTTCTTCAACTAGCAGGTTTAGAGTGGTAGCTTTACATTTCAAACCTTCTTCATTCAAGACTTTGATTCCCTGGTTAGCCTTTTCAAACTGCTCTGATTTGTTTGAGATGTTGATGAGGATATAATCTCAAAAACTAGTACTGGTAAAAATTGCTTCTTCTTTGATTTGATGGCTTTCAACTGCTCTGATTTCATATTGAGATGTTCACTTTTGGCTATTCAGAAAGCTTAGGAATATTTCAGATGTCTGTCTTGCAAGATATTTGTTGCCCACCTTTATTTTGATGCCGACCTCCTACCTATAGCCCTGTGTCCTGAGTCCTGAGGGACATTATGATTACGACTTTATATAATAATATATATACAAAGACCAAGTTATTCACCAAAGGCGAATTGATTACTTGCCTCTGCAACTTTTCCCTGTATCGTAGCATTTTTCCATGTTATTACATGACGCATCGTATCTTCCTAAAGAGGAGCAAGTTTCAGCAAAATAAAAGAGAGGACAGAAAGGAAGATCTTGCATCATGCTCCACTATTACTACAAGATATAGATTATTCAAAATGCAGGATCTGCCTATCTGGTCAAAAAGGACACTGAACTTGTTTTACATTTTGGCCTAAGTTACCAGCAGGATCTGGATCCGTTGCCTTATTGACAAGGAGAATTATGTCTGCGAATTTCAACAGAGGAAGGAAACAACAATAGAAAGTTACTTTTGCTGCTTCTACCTCTGCTACGCATCATATAATTCAATTGAGTTTATACAAATGAAACTCCATATCCTATTACTGAACTACTGAATTTTAACAAGTGCACCTGATCAATGGAATGAAAATAACCACCAAAATTTCTCGGTTTGCAGTTAATTTTCTTACATTGTCTTCCTTGCATGAGTTTTCTTTTGGGGCAATTCTGCCTTGTTATTTCGAGTAGCATGTACTACTTGTGTTTGATGTAAATTTCTCGGTTTGCAGTAATACTTTTGTACTTTTGTGTTTCTGTTTAATGTAAATCAGCTTAATCTTGCTAAAATCTGACACAGTCTTTTGTTCGTTGGCATACAGGGTCAAAAAGGATAACGGCAATTATTGTTGGTAAGCACTACGCAGCCTTTTATCTACAATGTTTCTTAAGTGGTCCACTGTTGGCTTTCTGCATAAATATATCCCCTTTGTTCCCACACATTTTGCTGCAATCCCTAGTATTACGTATATCATTTTACAGCTAATTGCAAATACCTGTTTCTGGAAGTACGCAGCTTTCAGCAATACTAGAAGATTAATATGACTGTAATATTAACTCACGCAACCTTTTCAGGTGTCGTGGCTGGTGGTGCTGGTGTTGCAGGGCTTGCCGCTGCAATATTTTTGTTCATGCGCAAGAGGAAGCAGAAGAAAGTGATCAACTCATCTTCGAAGCTCCTCAAGTACAGCGGCTGTGGTGGGACCCCGCGTTCACGGCTCGGCGACATGGAGTCCGGCAGCATCGAGGACCCGCCGACGCACCTCTTCACCTACGAGGAGCTCGAGGAGGCGACCAACTGCTTCAACGAAAACAGAGAACTCGGTGATGGTGGCTTCGGCACCGTCTACAAAGGTACTCCTAGAAATGATCTCTTACAAAGCCATGCTCCCGCCTTTGGATTTGAACTTAAGTGCCAATTGGCATTCTACATTGTTCAGCAAACCATGCCACTGTCAGTTCGTTCCAAGATGTTGGTCATTGCGTGGCACTATTCATATGGCAAACCAAACCACGCAAAGGCAGCACTAATAACACCAGGCTCTGGTTCTTTGTGCTCACTGCTCAGGGTACCTCAAGGACGGGCGCGTGGTGGCGGTGAAGCGGCTGTACAACAACAGCTACCGGCGCGTGGAGCAGTTCCAGAACGAGGCGGCCATCCTGTCCGGGCTGCGCCACCCGAACCTGGTCATGTTCTACGGCTGCACGTCCAGCCAGAGCCGCGAGCTGCTGCTGGTGTACGAGTTCGTGGCCAACGGCACGGTGGCCGACCACCTGCACGGGCCGCGAGCCCCCGAGCGCGCCCTCTCGTGGCCGCTCCGCCTCAGCATCGCCGTGGAGTCCGCCGCGGCGCTCACCTACCTGCACGCCATCGAGCCGCCCGTCGTGCACCGCGACGTCAAGACCACCAACATCCTCCTCGACGCCGACTACCACGTCAAGGTCGCTGACTTCGGCCTCTCCCGCCTCTTCCCCCTCGACGTCACGCACGTCTCCACCGCTCCCCAGGGCACACCAGGGTATGTCCATGTCGTTGTAGTTCGCCACATGGTGGCATCACGCTGTTTACTGTTTGCCCAAAAGGTAGTTCCGTTGATCTCAACAGAGAACATTTTGTGTTTTTGCACATGGCTGGCAGGTATGTAGATCCAGAGTACCACCAGTGCTACCAGCTGACGGACAAGAGCGACGTCTACAGTTTCGGAGTGGTGCTGGTGGAGCTCATCTCGTCGAAGCCCGCCGTCGACATCACCAGACACCGCAACGAGATCAACCTGGCCAGCATGGCCATCAGCAAGATCCAGAAGTGCCAGCTGGAGGAGCTCGTCGACCTCGGCCTGGGCTACGAGACCGACCCGGCCACCAAGAAGATGATGACCATGGTCGCGGAGCTGGCCTTCCGTTGCCTGCAGCAGAACGGCGAGATGCGCCCGCCGATCAAGGAGGTGCTCGAGGTGCTCAGGAGCATTCAGGGTGAATGCCTGATGGAGGATAGAGACAAGAAGAACAAGGACGGGCCCGTGTCTCCCACCACGGTTCATGCTCCGTGGGACAGCAGGGACACCACGCCCAACACCAGCAAGGACTAGATTAGTTAGTGCTCGAGGACTGAGACCGCCCGAGATTTATTTGTGCTTCATGTTTGTATTTAGGCGATGTCGGATGCAGTGACTAAAATTTAGGAGGTATTACGTGAAAGTGTTGTATGGGGTGTTTGGATACTAATAAAAAAATAAATTATAGAATCTGTCGGGACACAAGACTAATTTATTAAGCCTAATTAAGCCATCGTTAGCATATGTTTACTGTAGCACCACGCTATCAAATCATAGGCTAGTTAGGCTTAAAAAATTTGTCTCGTAAATTAGTCGCAAACTATGCAATTGATTTCATAATTAGTCTATATTTAATACTACATGCACGTGATTACACAGAGGGGAGGCAAATGTTTGTATTGGTCCCCCGTGATTACAGACAATAATGGTACACTTTTACATGATGGAAACCCTAAACGATGCTGCAAAACATGTTGACGGTGTAAGTGTTAAATTAACTGAGAAACTACCAGTTTTCAGTCAAGTAGCTGTGCCTTTGATGGATGATGGTGGTAGCTTCCTGGTTCTTTTTCTTATTTAACAGTTCTTTCCTCTCCACTGCAGGAACCGCTGATGCCGTTCCTCGCAACATGATGTAATACAGTTGCTTGATTAGTTGATTTCCATGCTATAGTATCCTCACTAAGGTACTGTTCCACAATTTGTGCAGAATATAGGCATCACCAAACCAAGCATCTTCTCCTCCGGAACTTGTCAATGTCATCTGAGCTCATCCGTGGTTTATCAGGAACATCCACTGTTTTGGATTTCCCAACTAGGCTATCTAGGCTCTTCCGTGAGATCTGTGAGCACTTTGTAGCCACTTGAGGTTTCTCCGAGTATGCTTCCTCTGTTTCTTTACTGGTAGTGCCATCCTTTGCCGTTATCTCTTTTGGTTCAGGTTTTGGTGTTTTTTTGCTAACGCTTGACACAAACTTCTTCAAGTGCTTAATGTAATCTGGATATAGCTCTAGATTGCAGTGGCCACCACCACTCAACCACAGTGGAGAATACTTTACTTTGCAATGCTCCCATAGCTGTTTTCCGTGGGAGCAGTCAACGACATCATCTGATGTACCCTGGTACAGGAAAGTATCAGGTTATGTTAGTCAAAGAAGCAATAATCTACCAAAGCAACTATGATACCGAATTAACAAACATTAGTTTCTTAAGATTAAGATGCCCACTTGATAGCTGTCTACAACTTTGACAAATCTGAATGTTCGTTATTAACATACTTCGATTGGGGTGAGTAGTGATTAGTGAGTATTACTCATTCTACTGTGTATACCCTTATCACAGATGAGGAATCACCCATTTTCATGCTCAATCTACTGTATTGTATCAGAAGTTAATTCCACCAAGGACCCTGGGGGGAGAGGATTGGGAGATAGGATATTAGAACTCACATGAATGACAAGCACCGGACAATTTACCAAGCCAATTTTGTCGATGTTCTACAGCAAGGAGAGAAAAGATATCAGTTATTTAGCAACCAACCAATAACTCCAGGAAACAAAAGAACCAAATATACCTTGTAAATGTCGAACCAAAATGTCCGTTTGACTGGATATAGTACTCTTAGTCCAGATAAAATAGGACTATGCAAAACCACTGCTCGCAAGTCTGGCAATCGCGAAGCAAGATCAATGGTTGGACCACTTCCAACAGACTGACCATATAAGATTATATCCTCATCTGCGACACCATATTTTTCCTTGAGGCAGTTATATGCTGCTTCAATGTCTGCATATGTATTACACTCAGTGGGCTGTTCAAGGGAAGAATAAACTGTCTATTAAGATATGGTTAGGGAGAAGATTCTAGTTGCTACATAAGTTATTAGCTAAGCGGTCAAAATAAAAGAAGAAAAGATACCTTCCCTGTAGATCTCCCGTAACCAGAATAATCATACCTGCAGCAATATATAAGTATATTAAAATCACTTTCAGGGAAAAAGACTAGGGAACCAACTGTGGCCACAAATTAAGCATCAGTCTAGCGGAGAACTAACTGTGGCCACAAATTAAGCATCAGTCTGGAGGAACTAACTGTTATGTGGCTGGAGGATTGAGAGGGAGAGAGTTGAGGGAGAGGCGGCGACGGGCAGGCTACAGTACTCGTCGGCGCTACAGTGAAGCGGGTACTGTTCACGACCATAATTGTGGCTGCGAGGGAGGGCGGAGGCCGGCCGGGGGCCTTGCCCACGGCCGAGCAAGAGGGAAGGGATTTCCTTCTTAAGTCTTACTTGATTAGATCTATACATCTCTCCTTATATAGAGAGGTTTACTTGACTACCAAGCAAGACTTACTTGACCCTTAAGTAAGCGACCCTTATTTCTATTTAACCCTAACACTAATGGGCTATACAGCCAACCCAGGCCCAATAGGCACCTGACGTACTCTAACACTACACCCCACCTAGACATGCAGCTCGTCCTCGAGCTGCAACCTAACGAACTTATAACGCTGACTCGACTCCTAACACCTAAAAACAAGCATTTTACATCTTAGCTTATTTTATTATTCTCAACCTGAAATGGACTGGGACTCTTTATTTTTGACTCCTGAACATAAGGTGGACACCATCCGCACGCCAAACCTGCATGTGTACAGCCTCCTGGATCCCATGGACACCATCTAGGCGAAAGGGGTACATGTGTATGGCCACCTGGAAGTGGTCGCAACAGCGACCATGCGGCCTTCTGTGATGCGCGCTCATTGGTGACCCCACGCCTTCTCCCCCGCCAGACAATTTGCTGGTCAGACCACCGCATGAGAGAATAGCGGAGGGCTTTCGATGGAGAACGAGGTGGAGGGATGCGCCTCCCCAACCGCCGCCCGCAGGGAAAATAGCATGCCCGCCGCCCGTGGGGGAAACCGCATGCCCGAGATCCCCGACGCAGCGGACGAGATCGAGGTCCTCGCAGCGAAGCGCAACTTGGAGGAGCTGCAAAGGAGTGCAGGGTGAATCACCGCAGATCGCGCATCTCTCGCGACTCCGCCGACGCTAGGGAGAGCAGGCGTAGCGACCTGCTGACCGCAAGACCGCACCGACACTGGCGGCGGTAAGCATCTTCCCCGCCGACGTCATCGCGATGTCCATCGGCCGCTCGATCTCGCCGCAACTTTCTCGCCCGTGGATCGGGATCTGCTTGCGCGCCGTAATGGAGACGACGATTGTCGTCCCATAGCTCGCCACCAGAAAGTAGAGGCGAGGAAGGCCTCGATGCCCGCCACGGCCTGCCCTAATTCCAGGATTGCGCCGTCGTCTGCGCTTCCGGGGTGAGGACGAGGCGGACTGGCGCCGGGCAGATGGCGTATAATCGCCCCGAGGGGACGCCAATGCGCCCAATGCTGGTAGCGCTTTCATTGTGTGGGGCAGCAGCAGCGCCGACGAAGACGCTGGTGGCGGCGGGTGGGTATGCGGCGGCGGCGGGTGGGAAGAACTCGGTAGAGAGCTGGACATGATCGAACCAGAGATCTCTGGTACCAGATTGTTATGTGGCTAGAGGATTGAGAGGGAGAGGCAGCGACGGTCGGGCTACAGTACCCGCGGAGCTACAGTGAAGTGGGCACTGTTTACGACCATAATTGTGGCTGCTGGGGCTGCGAGGGAGGCTGGAGGCCGGCCGGGGGCCTTGCCCACGGCCGAGCAAGAGGGAAGGGATTTCCTTCTTAATTCTTGCTTGATTAGATCGATACATCTCCTCTCCTTATATAGAGAGGTTTACTTGACTCCCAAGCAAGGCTTACTTGACCCTTAAGTAAGCGACCCTTATCTCTAATTAACCCTAACACTAATGGGCTATACAGCCAACCCAGGCCCAATAGGCCCCTGACGTACTCTAACACTAACTGTGGCCACAAATTAAGCATCAGTTTAGAGGAGAAGCCTATTTAGCAAAGAGGTACACTGTTCCAAATGAAACTCAAGACAGAAACCAGGCACTTTAAAATGCTATGATGCAGATATCAGGTTAATCATATTTCCTTGGGATGGAAGAGCAAGCAATGCTGGATATGCTTTGCAGAAAGAATATGTAAATGATGCAGATAGTGATTATGCTGTTCAGCAATAAAGTTAAAAAAAACATGTTTTAGTCTCAGTCTAACATAAATCTTTGGAGTTACCAAAGCTTTTCATGATTACAAATTACAACCATGAAAGAATTTTTTTTAGCAGTCACAAAGTAAATCTCCATGTCCTACAGCAAAATTATATACGAGAAAGGAAAAAAAATGATCCCTTGGAATCCAAATCCGACGCACATCTGACATCTCCCTGCATAATGCAATCCACCTAGAAAGACCCACTAATCATGCCTCAAAATGCAAGGCACCACCTCATCAGCATCGAAAAAGTTCAAGGTGTAAAGTCCAAGATACATCCACAAAATATATTATCTTGCCTCTGGCACACCTACAATGTCGGTACAGTCCCTATCTAGTGCATAACTAATAATCTATATAGCCTGTTGTTTTTTCTTTTCATGCCAAAGAAATTACTCTTACATGAATCATACGGGACCCCACCAATTAGTCAATTACTCTTGTATTCAGCAGTCAAAAGCCCTACCTATTTCTTTCGTTGAACAGGATCTGTAAGCAATGCATTAGATGCAAGTGTCTTGTTAAGATGTTCAATTGAATTTGGGGGGAATCTGTAAATCAAGGGTTTACTGGTATGGCTGCTAGGGCAAGCTTGTAGTTGTTTGCGACTATAAATACAGGTTAATTTTCCACATCACCAAACATAAATGGGGTGTGTGTGATCCAATCTTATCTCCTATCAATTATCAATTCCATCTGCTAACATGCAGTTGCCGCTACAGGGTCCCAAAATTAGAGCGAACCCACCACTTTGCATAATCGAAGCACCTAGTTAGGAGATATGAAGCCCAACAAATCGAGCAATAATAAATGCACGGGAACGCCAGAAATCGAACACCTCCTGCAACCTTTCCCAAAACCCTCCCGTAAGTTGCCCCCAA